TGTTTTACACTTTGATAGATGCCGGGCCCCCGATACCCCTTATTTTATACCCAACCACCCGCGATCTGGCCTCGATAAGCCTGGATACGTCTGAACCGCAATCATCAGGAACATTTGGGTTAGGGATATTTTTACGTACTGTTGGGAGATGACTTGGTGTCTAACGGAACGCAACAAGGAGCAAGAGTCTTTCTAGTTCACGGTCTTTTGGTTTTCATTGATTACGTGTCACCTGGGATTGAACAGGTTGCGGGAATAACAGTTTAAGTGTTGTATATTAGCTTCGACTGAAACAGTTATGGAGAACAGAGGTAAAATAAAAGTAATTGTTGGTAGGTACATTGGTACTGAGCTTGTATTAGACTAGTTCTGTTACTGTTATTTCTTCGTTTTGCATTTAGGTTCTGTACTTTGGTTCTGCAATTCTTACGGAACCGAAGAATAACAGTTATAGAACCGATACAGTTCTGTAAGGAATGCAGAACCGAGATATAGAACCTAAATACAGAACGGAGGAATAACAATTAATAGTAACTAATATATTACCTAATAGCAGTTACGACTCAATCTCGGTTTTCCGTAGCTGTTTCAAGAACCAAAACTGATATTCTAATTGTTTTCAATCCCTGCGTGTAACCATATTGACAGACAACAAATTGATCACCGTAGACATTACAAATTATTAAATAAAGCCAATAGAAATCAAATAAGAAAAAATGAAAACTGTTCGATTAGTCGAATTCCTCTGCTTAGCTGTCAAGTAATCTAGGAGTACTCTCTGGCACCACCGATAACAGCTCTAACAAATTTCACACATTTAACCCTTTGCACTCGGTGGCGACTCTCAGTTACCATTCGATTTGATGCGGTAAAACTATAAAATCTGATATTTAATGTTCAACTTTCTATAATGCCTTTATACGTGAAATATTAGAATAAAATAGCTTTGTTTCTCAATGTACTTGTGATTTCCCTTCAAGTTAGTTTCAAGGAATATCGTTTTCTCCTCGTAAAAAAATATTAAACATTTCTAGTGAAAAACTTTCGAGTGCAAAGGGTTAATTATCTTCGATTATCAATATTGTATTAATGGAAACTCATTAGTTTGGAAATTCAATGGGAACTCATTAGTTTGAATATTCAACGGTATTCATTTCACAGAGAATATTCAATGACAAGTTTGCATGGTGCATCGATAACTTTTAATTCTCGGGTGAAAATGTGGATGATCGAATTCAACGAATATCATGGTTCCGTGAGAAAATTTAGTTGATTGTTTTTACTCCTTTTACGCGACATTTGAGTGGAGAACGTCGGACAGAAATTTCAGTTCCATAGAAAAATTCCTGTTCAAATTGTTTTACATTGTTTGAAACGAATGGAGAACGAAACGATAACGATTCGAGGATCTTTTAGAGTAATGGAGATCTTAATGGCATGCAAATGAATAGTTTACTATCGGATGCTTCTGTATTCGGAAATAATGCAGCTGAGTGCGATATTGCCTCGCGGGTCGAAATCGAAAAGTTTACCACTTCCATAGCTTTCAACATGTTCCCCTGAGTCACTCGTGTCGGATCTGTATTCACCACCACTAAGAAGAGACAGTTCCAACCCTTGTTACGATGAACACGGATAAGGGGTAGCTGAAAAGAAGAGAAGGAACACTGCAGAAGTTGTAACTCTTTTTGCTCTTAATTTGGAAAGCATTATAGCATTTATAACAACTTGAATTCTCTGCTGAAGTAATAGCAAATTGATAAGGGTGTTAATTTTTCCATGAAGGCTTCATTGAAATTATAAAGTCATTGCCATTTAAAGCTGTCTGAAATAAGATTTAATGTTAAGATATATAAAAACAATGTCAGAAGAGTTATCACAAATCCCTGAAATTTTTTAATAACCTCAGTATTAAACTTT